AAATTTTGTCTTCCAAGGCCCAATTTACAGTAGGGAGGGTGGGGTTTGGAATCAGCCCAGACTCCATTTTGAGATTGATTACAACTGAATAGGAGTCAAGCAAGGTGACAATAGAATTCAGCATGAAGACTCAACATAGAGTGGAAGTCTTGAATCACAGAAGCCTAGTGATGACCCAGTACTGCATATGCTTCAGTGACTGAATTAAACCAAGGGATCTGATTGCCAGCATCTGACCCACTTAACTGCAGCGTTACTGGATGTTCCCAAAGCACATGGACAGAATGAATCCATTTCCACATAATTCGTCCAGCTATTGAAGAATTAAAAACATCTCTACGACTGACTGATGATAGTACTTTTAGATGAGAGAGACTAAGTATTTTTCTTCATTGGAAAGCAAGTTAAAATAACAGATGAGAATTGACCAGGAGCATGCAATATAAGGATAAACCATGTAAATATCTAAAGAGGGATGATGATGAAAAGACTGTTAGCCTGTTTTTGCCTGGCTCCTGGAATATGATGCTGTCGCTATCTGTTGTCATATATTTATCCAGAAATGTACCCAGATACTGCAGTACGTTTATTTTTATTAAGGCATCTATATTTAATGTTAGCAAGGAGTGAGCTTTCTCTTTGTGTGTTTACTTTCTAATGGCTATTTCAAATCTGATAGGTCATAACCTGTGTGTGTGTGTGTGTGTGTGTGTGTGTGTGTGTGTTATAGTGTTGTGAATAGCACAGAAAGATTCAGTGATTCTAACAAAGTATGTGAAAATAATCTGAAGATGTTCATGTGTGCGAGCCCTAATGTCTGTGGATTTTAAAATGTGCCTAAGAAAGAACTTCAGATTAAAGGACTGGAATCATCCTGTAATCAAAGAGTTTGTTGTCACTGTGATTCTAGGTTTATACATTTGAGTGGACCCAGTTAAGGCCCATAATTTTTTCCATAACTTTTACATAGCTCCCAGATATTTATATAGTTGTATAAGCTTTGTAACTTTAATAAGACATATGAAAGCAGAGAACCTCAAGCTTGTCAGCTTGAGAATTGGTATTCTACTTGGGCTTTGATGCAAATTGCTTTTTATGCTGTGAGTTTGTATGAACATGCATGGGATATAACATTTCATGAAGGAATGCAGAAACAGCCACACCAGATGAGAGGATTGGTTCATCTATGCAAACTCAGTGTCAAATTCATCTGGCCCTGGAGGCTGTAGAAATGGCGCAGGGCCAGTCCACAGGCTGGATTGCGGCCACAGAGCCTCCCCCACCTTTCCGCACATGCTGGATTCAGCACATGCGGCACCTACTCCTGACTGACTGGCATAGGCACTGCATGCAGTGCATGTCTCGGACCAGCCAGCTCAGGTGCCACGTGTAGCGCAGTCCTGGAACAGCTAGAGCAGGTGCTGTCCCAGGCGCTGCATATGGGGCTGGGCTGGCACGTGCCACATGTGGTGTGTGGGTCAACTCTGAGACCCAGGAGCAGCACTGGGGACCAGAAGATGGAACTTTACAGGTAGGATCCAGTGTATCAGCTATCTTTGGTGCCCCTAACAGTGCCACTAATCTATATACATTTATTTTAGTCAGTGAACAGTCACAACTTCCACTGACATCAGATGGGTGCCTGAACTGAGCAGGGAACAGGAGAGAGCAATGAATTCTAATTCAGCAGGAGAGAGGAAAGAATTCTAATTAACAGAATGAAAGCAGAAAAATCCATTAAAGGAATTACAACCAGAGACACCACCTGACTAACATAGATATTGCCTACAAGCAGAGTGTGTATCATTAGCTTTTAGCAGGAAGGCTTAGGGTGATAAATAACCATATTTCTTTCTCTTGCATATGTTGATACTAGCACAGTTCAGTACTGATTTTATACAGTGGATTCTGCTTTATAGAATCGGTGGTTAATAGAATCAGCCACTTATTTCAATCAATATAGGAAAACCAAAACCATTTGTATATTATTACATGTAAAAATCACTTACATTAGAATCACAATTTTTGGTTTTTGGAATCATTTGCTTGGAGAAGGCCGGGGACTTTGCAGTTTTGTGAAAAGCCCTCTGCAGGCTGGCAGAGTTCCAGCCTGCAGGAGCCTGGGAGGGAGCAGGAGGAGGGTGGTCAGGCAGGGGTGCCATGTGTATGTATTGTATGTGCACATGGCCCCAGGCAGCCTGGAGAGCAGCTCCCACAGGTTAGTGCAGGAGAGGGCAAATTGGGCTCCTGCAGGGAGTGGGGGAGTTGGACAGGGCTGGGGCCCCAGCGGGGAGTGGGATAGGGCTGTGGGCAGCTCATCTGGGGGACAGGCTCCCTGCAAGCACGCCCCTTGCATACACAGTAGTTTTGAGGGGCGCAACTTCACACCACTGCCCTCATTGCCTGCTCCACCCCCACCCCACACAGATCTGGGGCACACGGATGCCCCTCCAGGAGTGCACACCATGGCGGGGAGCTGGCCCTACCCCCTTGCCCAAGCGTGCAGTGGGCAGTAGCAGGTGGGGAGCTGGGCTCAGCTCCACTGCAGCAGCTGCTGCCTCCTGCTGGGGAAAGGGGGCTGCAGACCCAGGTCCTTGGCCCCATAGCTCTGGCAACTGGGGCCCCCTCCAGCAGGACTGGGGGTTGGGGGGCTGTGGGTGGGGGGGGCAAGGGGCACCAGCAGTGGTTTGGCCCTAAAAAAATCTTCCAATTCAATCCATTCATGTGTCCTTTACCAGTAATCAAGATGAATCTGCTTATGTATACATTTTAGATACAACAGGATGATTCAGAGCATCACAAGATATTGTGAATGTGTTAAGCAATCTGCCTGGCACTTACAGGAGTGGATATTTTTATTAGAAGTCTTGATATGTGTCAGAGCATGACACAGAAAAAAGAAGGAAAAAATATTTATAGGAGCCAGTTACATTTTAAGGGTCTTATTCTGTTCCCACAAAGTCAATGAAGAAATTTAACTTCAGTAGGAACACGATTCGGGCCTAAATATCCTTTCAGAGAGAACACTGAATATTTTGTAGTCATTAAAAACAGACCTGCAGACTTCTTATGGAAATTTACAAGCTCAGAGCAAAAAAATTGCTGTTCTTCATCCCAAATTACTGTAGCATTTTAATGAGCATTTTAAAATATATTTTGCATTGATGTAGCAATTCTCACATGAGGATCTTAGAGTACTTTGTACATACTGAGTGGAGCATTACCATGCACCTGGAGGTCAGAACTGTTACTTCCCATTTTACAGATAAGGAAAACAATTTTTCAGAAATGCCTTTCATTTTAGAATTGTCCATATATCATATTATTCAAATATAAGACGAGGTTTGCCCTCCAGTCAGCACGGGAAGAAAGCCTTTTGTTGTAGATTTGCATATCAGCAAACCATCCTATTAAATACATTTGCTATCATTAAACCGCCGCTAAAAGCAGGATGTGCTTAGTCATGGAAACCAACTGTGAAGTTGATTGAATCTAGCATATGCTGAGTATGCCCATAAAAGACATGGCCCATATTGGGCAAACACACTAATGGGAACCTACCACAAGGCTACGTTACGTATAGCCCATCTGAATAAGTTTAAGTGCCCACAGTACTTAGTCTCCCTCAGCACCAACTCTTTTTTGGGCTTGTGAACCACTACATCAAATACATTTTGACTTCCTCTTCACTCCCAGAGCTGACCAGTGCTTTTCTTGCCATTTCCAGTTATTTCTGTTCTTCATAAGCGTTAAATGTCTTGTAAACATTACCAAGCTTCTGTGTAACTGAGAGGCTCTGTCACCCCCTCTCTCAGCCTGTTGCGTGTGATTAGTGTGGCTGGGCCGTCTGTGGGGTGGAGACGGACCAGGCAGCCCTGCGCCTCATCTGAAATACATTTTTGGAAGGTCCCAGAATTTGTAACAAGAACCCCTGGTTCCAGTTGCAAGTCAAGGGCTCATTAGCACATGGCTCCTTTATGGTGAGTATCTGGAGTACATGCACAAACCAAGCAGTGCTGGACTCTGGGGTCACCATGGCTTGAAGTGCTGTTGACTCTCTTGGGGCCCAGCCCAATGAACTATATGATGTCTTAAGTCTTTTGGCTCTGGATTCATATCATGCCTAGCTTTTACTATGTGTAAGTAGGTACAGAAGTGGTGTTCAGAAGTATATTTATGGAGTACCTGTGCTGAAATTTGCAGCAGTTAGGGTTGGGGCTAGAGCTAGACCCACAGCAGTCCCCAGTTTCTGCCCTCCTCTTTGTCTCTTCTCTCCCCACACTGTTACATGCACTCACTTCCATGGTGTGTTTGCGGAGGGAATAGAGCCTGAGCAGGGTCTGACAGTAAGAGGGGAGGGGGGTCAACAAGGCTTCAGGGGAAAGGAGTTGGGAGAGGCAGAGGGCAAGGGGGCCACCTGACTTCCCTCCAGCCACTATTTTCCTTGCTGTAGCAGTAGGAGGGGGATGAATTCAAGACAAAACTCCAATAATTAGATTCTACACCTGGAAAATTATAACCAATGTATACATTTTCCATATATAGAATCTGATTATTGGGGCATCATATATTCTGGGTTATCTTCTATTCAGATAAATATGGTATTTCTTAACTGTTGGATGTGCAGCTGGTCCTGATTTCTAAGGCACTGAACAGTCACAGCTTCTACCAACATCAGATGGGGTTGTCTGCACTGGGCACATCTGGAAATCTAGCCTCAAGTTTTTTTGAATTGGGTGGTAGCAGGCACCCCTGAAAATTTTGTGACTTGCCAAAGCTGACAGAGGAAGCTTCTGGCAGAATCAAAAATAGACTAAGTGTTTTCCAACTGACAGCATCATCTTTTCCCCCAAACCCATAGGGCTTTCTATCTGGGATCAGCATATTTTTTGCTAATAAAGAATTATTTTGGTAAGCACATTAGAAATGCATTTATCTACAAGTGTTAGTTCTTTTTACCATCATCTAATGTACCATAATCTTCTGTTTTTGGTCTATAGGTGATATATGCCCTGAACACTAAAAATGATGAGCATGAGGCCAGCATACAGGCTCTTAAAGAAGCACATGAAGAAGAGATTAAGCACATCCATGCTGAGACAATGGAAACAATCCTCCAGTATAAAAGCAAAATGGGAGAAGAACAGGTGCTACGAAAGCGTATTCAGACCCTGGAAGATATGCTGGGGCAACACCAGATGCTAAAGGAGGAAGCCTCAGCAAAATTTATCATGTGCAAGAAGCAGGTGGCAGAGCGGGAGCTGAGAACAGAGGGAAAACAGCCTGAGTTGATCAGTTTCCTTTCCAGGGAGCTGTTAGATATGAAGACAGACTTTGAAAACAAGCTTCAGCATTTAAACCAGGAGTCTGAGAGCCTAGTAAATGACTGCAAAACATTTGAGAGAGAGAACTTGGATACAAAGGAGAGTTTAGATGATAAACACCGTGTGGAGATGCAGGTTGTACTTAATGAAATGGAAAACCTCAAGAGTGAGAATCGAAAGATAATTGAAGAATATGCTGAGAAAACCAGCAAATTACGAGCTTTTTATGAGAAAGAAAAAGACACTTTGAAAAAGGCCATGCAGCAATCAGTGGCAGATATGCAGAAGCAGTGCCAGCAAAGAGAAATGGAGCAAAGGAAAATCAATGAAGCCCAAGAGGCTGTTTTGTTGCAGCAAGTAAAGAAGCTGGAGGCTGACCTAGAGGCGAAAAGTCAGAAAATAAATGAGCTGAAGAAACATTCCCAGAAGCTGAAGGAGAAGACACAGGTAGAATGTGAGACCCTAGTTTAGTTGCCTAAGAAGTAGTACATTGCTAAGTCTTTAAATTTTTGGTTTATAGGATTTTTTTAAATATCACCTGGAGTCAAATGCTTTGTAAGCACTAAAGTTGAACAGAATTCAGAAGACAAGGGCTGCATCCAGAAGAGCTCAGCCATGCACTGTGTGGTGCCACAGACGCATCTAGAGTGCCACATACTGCATGTTCAGTTGTTTTCCATGCTTGCATTGCAGAGGATTTTTGACTCCTGGATATCCAGGGGTCAAAAAACCAACAGAGAAAAAAGGTGGAGCAGTGCACACAGGTAAAGTGCATGCTGCTCAGAAGCAGAGCCAGGCCTGCTGAAGTGCTGCTGCTGCCAGCCAGGCTCTGTGCACCAGAATCGCCACTGCTGCCACCCCAGGAGGCTCCCAGGATCCTAGGTAAGGCTGCTGGGGCTAGCTCAGTGCTGGCCCTGGCCTCCCCTACCTCTCCTGGGGTAGCTTGTCATGCTCTGGAGCACACGTGGCATGGGCTTTCTTTGGGGACAACTAGCAGTGGGGCAAGGTGCACTGCTGCTAGTTGTCCCTGAGGAATCAAACGTCCACACTTTGTGTGGATTTGGCCAAGGGGGAGAAACCTAGTGACAGGAAGCTGTAAAGAGAGAGAGGGAGAGTTTCACAGACAATTAAGAATCTATTAGGGAAACTTCTGAACAGCAGATTTACCTCCATATAGAGAGGAACTTGTCTGTTCACTGACTGAGAGTGCAGAGTTGCCTCCTTCTCTCCTGCACCAAAAGAAGATGATAGTAAATAGGCAGTAGTGCTGTCAAGTATAAATAAGGACCACTCATAAAGGAGAATGGTGAATAGGGGCTATTGCTTTGGCAGCTTTCCACCTTGTGGCCATTAGCAGCCCATCCTTTGACCTGCCAACAAAATAAGTTGGAAAACAAGTGCTCTAGGTTGTGTGTTTCTACAACAATGGCTTTAAATTATATGGCATACTATAAATGATGGAACCTCAAAAATTCCTATATAGTAATAATAGGCCAGATCACCACCTCAGCGGATACAGGTGCTCAGAGGGAAGACACCTATATGCAGAGCTCCTTGCAGAAATTCCATCGTATTGTTGTGTGGTTGGGCACGGTTTGCCTCCTATCAAGGCCCAGAAACCTCACAGGTTGCTGGCGTCTGTGGGAGACCAAGGCAAGTCACCATATGCTCCATTCCTCCAGTGGAGTGCAGTTCTGGACCCTGTTGCTCTCACTTCTGCTCTGCCTGACAATACTATGATGACTGAGCTGTACATCTGTAGGTTTCTCCTTTAAAGGGGATCTCTGCTGAGGAAGGAGCTCTGTGGAAAAGACAAGACCGCATCAAACTTGTGAATTCATCTCTTTGTGAATTTGTCTTCTGCTCTTATGGAACCACATCCAGCTGACTTTCTCTCCTACCAATCAAGGCAGAGGTCTAACTATCAAGGTCTGCACCTTGGGTAGCAGCAGTGGCAAGCCCTGGACTGGCTGCATCAGAGGCAGCACCTTGCATTCCCCTAATTACTTGCCCAGGTCTGTTGCTCCAGTCACCCATCCCTTGTTTTGCTGCTGAATTAGGGGGCTTCCATACCCTCTGGGAAAGCATGAGCCAGGGACATGGTGGAGCTTTATGCCTTGCACTAAGGAGAGATTATCAGACCTTGCTGAAAATAGCAAGGAGCTTAGGCAGGTGATTAAGCAGTTAGCATATCTAGAAAGGGGTATGCATGGATCCTGGTGGCCAAGAGCAGCTCAGCTGCAATGTCCTGCTTTGGTTAAAGGTTTATGTCCATAAACCTTTAACAGGGAACCTATTGCAAAGAAATGTGGCACAGAGCTTGGCCTTATTTTAAAGAAGGCTAAAAGCCCCACCTTGTGGGTACAAAATAGCAGCCTGGTGAATGTCTTACAGAGAAAGAAGTATCAGGGCTATAACATTTAAATACAGATTAAAGACTTGTATAGTCCAGTGCTACTCAATTTATCCAGCCTTCTGGGCCAGATGATTGATGTGGGACTAGTCCACAGGCCAGATCCGACGCACAGAGTTGGTTTGTAGGCTGAATCTAGCATTGCTGCAAATGTAGGAGCAATTAATGCTGCTACCACCCCCTCACTGCCAAATTTCCAGACCCATGGGGAGCCCTACAAGCCAGATGACATGGCTTTGTGGGCCAGAGGTTGAGCACCACCGAGGTTAAATGTGTGTGTAAGTATCTTGGTGACCTGGAAACATCCTGAGTTAGCTAGTCTGGAAAAGGTACAATTTCATTTTAAGTAGAAGAACTGCACTTCCTACACACTGAGCCCCAGCCAGTAGGAATGATGATTAGATGGTGATTATAAATTTAAAAGGTAAAATGAAAAGGATAGACTTCTCATGCTGATGTTGCATGCGTATGCATTGTACCATGGGTCATGCCTATTACCATATAAATATCTTATAACTATGAATATTTTATGTATTGCTAGAAACTGATTAAAATGCAAGAAAAAGCTATGTTTCTGGAGTACTATGAATAATTAAAAACCTATAAATTAATAGGGACTTGAAGTACTGAGGCAGTTTCAGCTCTTCAGCAATTAATTTCTGATTTCAACATTAGTTAGATTATTTAGGGCTAAAGCTGAAATTACATCAGGAAAATTTGTTCTGGGGGACAGATCCTCAATGGTATGAATTTGTGTCAGACCTTTGAAGTTATAAAGTGATGCTGATTTTCACCAGTTGAGAATCTTGCCCTGGCTATTAAAGAGGCCTGAGAGTCCAAGGTAAATACAGGGGGAGACAACACAATTTCACAAAATGTAATTTCTCTACTTTTTAATGTTGAAAATATTTATTTTCAGATAAAAGCTGCCCCATCATCAGCTTTTTCTGAAGTCACATTTAGTATTTTGGCTTTTCAGAGATCTATCAAATATGACAGGCTGGAAAGCAGAAGCATTTCTATAATCTCTCATAATTAGTAAATACTGCCAAGGAAAGCTATTAAAATGCATGGAAAATAAAAAGACTAATGTTTAATCATGATGAATTTTCTATTCCCCCCCCCCCACCAGTATATGCCAAGTGCTTTAATATCTTTCAGTGAAACCCATCATAATAGTGCAAAATTATTATTTTTATTTTGGAGACAGAAAGTATGTGATGACAAACAGAAGCTAGTTTAAATACAGTTTTAGTCTCTTCAACCCAGTATTGAAAAGGTTTCAGAGTTTGACACAGGTAGAACTAACTAGCTTACCTATAACTAGTTAATTGTGGGTCTAAGAGGACTGTTTGTTATTTATGTAAGGGTATGAACAACAAATAAGGTGAATAAACAGGAAGCTGGGCTTTACCACAGGTAACCACATCTGCCCACTCTAACTCCATGGTAAGTAAGACCTAAACTGAGAAAGCTTTGCCCTCAGTGAAAATGGGATGAATTATTGTGGTTTGGCTTACTGTAAAGTAAGAGCAGACATAAAGGCTTTTTTTTTGTTTAAAATACCACAGTACTCTATGTGGTGTCTCTACTGGGCACTATGAGTACCTTACTGCCTCCTTTGGTTGGGGTGCCCCCCAACTCTCCTGCCACGACTTGGTGTTCCCTGATGAAGGAGGGGTTCAGTGGTGTTTCTCTTCCCGGGTGACCCAATGACAGGGGTACTCACAGCTATGCCATGGTGTTCCTTGGGGCTCCGCCTCCCCTACACCCCATCCACTTGCCAACCGCTTAGATGTTCCTCTTGCTGCTCCGCCAATCTCTGTAAGACCCCCCCCCCTTTGTCATGGGGGTCTGGCATCAGCTTCAGACAACCGCCAGGTCACCTAGATGTCAGCGCATCTGGAGCCGCAGCTCCTGATCCCCAAGGACTGCTCTCCTTGGTGTTTTGGCATCCTTCCTTCCCTTCCGAGGGAGAGGGGCACTCTTAAGCTCTGAGACTGTGGAGCTGGGGATTGTCTGTCCCCAGCCTGATGTCTGACACTGCCCTGCCCTGCCTTTGTAGCAGAGCAATGTCTGACAGGCTGCTATTGCCAGCCTCTGGAGCCGCCAGTGCTGCCTGTCTGTCATGCTCCCTGCTGGTTCCCTCTCTCTTTCTCCCCCTTGCCCCTTCTGGCTTCTGGCGGGGCTCTTAAACTTCCCTCAGCTGCCACAATTAGCCTGGCACTGCCCCACCTCAGGAGCAGCTATTTAAAGAACCAGCGTAATGCTGGCTTGTGTGGCTGTGGCCGCAGTTCTGGCTCCAGTCACGCTCCTGGCGGTAAGTCTACCAGGGCCCAGGGGGTCTGTTTATCTACCCCGGGTGTACCTGGGGCTGCCCCCACCTCCTGTGGTGCCTGTGGGGGCTTCTCACTGCCACACTCTACCAATCTACAGGTCCTCTGGCCCCAGTGGCTCACTTGACAGTCCAAAACATGTAATTGTGATTACATCGTGCATATTCCCATCACAATATATGCATTGCACTCCCACATGTCTGCACACTCACTAGTCCATCACCATCACCCTTGCAGTGACACAACCTCACTCCCAACTCCCCCCTTTCCCCTGTTTATTTCCCAGTCCTTTCAGTTGTCACTGTCACCATCATCTTCTCTCTCATTGGCTCTGCTGCCGTCTTCGTCATCGTCGTCATCTTCATTGTCACTCTTTTCAGGATTCTCACCCCTGAACAGTCTGTGGACTGTTCCAGTCCCTGACAGACTGTGCCAGTCCATCTTCTTCCATATGATCTCCGCAATCTCCTCCCTGATGTCTCCTATCACTTTCTAATGGTACCCTTGCATCTTGATTCATCACATTTTGACACAGGCCTCTAATGAGAGGTTTGCATGCCTGTACATGAGCAGGTTCCTGGTCTTCTACAGGTGTTGGTTGTAGCCATGTTGGTCTAAGGACACAGGCAGACAAGGTTCTTTGGGTAAATGTGATATCTTTTTTAGAACAACTAAATAGTTGGAAAAATTGTTTTTGG